GTAATCATGTAAGGTAATTGTTTACACAAACTGATTGAGATTGGCCATTAAATAAACAGTTACCTCCTTCTCTCTTTTATGTAATTATGTCAAAACATTTTAAATCTGAAATGGATTATTGCATATATAAGTGAATCAAAAGAGAAAAAATGAACCAATTTTTACCTGCACAGGTGTATGCCTAGTGTTGCTCCAGACTCTAAAGTCCCAGCATCAATCCTTGTGTATCCAATCACTGTATGCTTACCAGTAGTTTACTGAAGAAAGACATCCATTCTCTGAGGACTGTCCAGCCTACGCAGCATCTGAGTTACTCTACCGAAGTACCTGTCTCTCATGATGGATTACATATGAAATAAGTGAAATCTGTGAAGTTATCCTTCCAGATTAGTGCCTCAGATTAGTGGACAGTGAGGTCCACTCACTTTCAGAATCTTTTATCAGAGATTTCACCTTTGTATCTTCAATCTTAGATGTATAGGAATGCATATCTGTAGTAGAAAAACATTTTTAGAATGCTTTTAGAATGATGTTAAGAGTCTGAGGGCAAAAGAAAATCATCAACCAATTGAATGTGGTTTTAATTATCATTTTTAAGTGAGATGGTTTAACTCCTAGTCATTGCTCTTAACAGTAACGTCGTGATTATCAGCTCCTTACAAGGGGAGTGGAGGAGCAGTGCTGAGCTCTGCTCTCTGGTGACAGAGATAGGACTCGAGGGAACAGCATGGAGCTGTGTTGGGGGAGGAAGGAGGGTCTATTTGGCATTTAGGAAAAGGTTCTTCACCAAAGAGTGGTCAGGCATGGAACAGGCTTCTTAAGGAAATGGTCACATAAGATTTGAATTTTGAGTGGCCCTGTGCAGAGCCAGAAGTTGAACTTGAAAGTCCCTACCAACTCAGGGTATTGGATGATTCTGTGTTTCTATTGCCATCTTGTAAGTGATTACGATTCCACTAGTATTTGTCTGAAAAACTTCATTTATTCTTCTGAAGTTTAGAGACCTAATGGTAATTTTTGAGTATGATTTTGATCCATGTTTGTTTAATATTCAAATGTGTACGATTTTCATGGTTTGTGACCATTTTCTGCCCCTCCTGATATGTCTTCAATGTGTATGTCTGAGACAATTTTGGTGAAAGACTTAGCCACACTATCTTTCCACAGCTGACATGAGTATATTCTCAGGTTCTTCTTGCTGTTTCCAATTGGGAAGGTTGTAGCCTATGGTGTCTCTTCCTTTTCTCTGTGTGTGACCTTGAGTTTTGTAAGTCTAATTTAAATTGACCTTTATTACTTCAGTTCTTCAGACTGTCAGCCCAGTTCATTCTGTATGATTTTCCATCTTCACTTTTTTACTGAGATCTTAGATCACTTGGCCACTGGCAGATGTTTTTAGCGTACAGTGGATTTTTGTATCAACATCATTAAAAATATGTTTAGTTCCAAAAACATTATTTGAAATATTACTGTTCTAGTAATACTGCATTCATCCTAATGATATTTCCTTCCCTTAAATCAAATTGTGATCCCTACACTTTTCTAGCACACCTTATCCAGAATAATTTAATTTTTTTCCACGGTGTTATCATATTTGGTGAATATGTTCAGACCACTCCTGTGTTCCTTCTCTTGAAATATCGGTAATCTTATAAAGACAGGTAAACTTAAAATACTCTATTTTGGAATAAAGCTGTTATTGTTCATAATTTAAAAACAGAGAATATGGGAAATAAGTTCCATTTTCTCACTACTTCAATACCTCTAGTTGTGCAGTACTTCACAGTTTGTTTCAAATTCTTTCAACATGCCCCATGAGGTCAGATCAACTTTTTTTCAGTTGCCCAGATCACATACATTCCTTTTTCTTACAGGAAAAAAAGAGTTAGAGTTTATTATTACTGTTATTTTTCAGACATCTGATTGACAGTCTGTTAGATTCATTAGAAGTCTTTGTTATTAAACTGGCCTTTCATATACTAGTATTGCAAGTACTCTGGAGTGAAGATATGATGTCTCACCCTCATGGTCTGGACACTTCATTTAAAACAGTTTTGTGTCTTTGTTTTGTTCTCATCTTTGATAATTAATTTTCATTTCCATAGTCTGTATCACTAGCTGCACTGCATTTACAACTATGGTCAACATCTCCATATTAATTTCATTTTGGACTGTCTGTAAATTATCTGTAATCTTAATGCTGCTTGCTGCTTTGTGAAGTCTTTTTTTTTTTTTTCTATTTTCTTTTTATTCGAATGATGAAAGTACATTTTAGTACTTGCAATTTTGCAAGATCTGACCCTGCCTAAAATTTTCTGTTCTTGCTTCCTCCATATATTTTCTGACATCAGACAGTTTTCCTTGCATATTAGTTTCATTTTCCACCCTATGAGCTCTCTGTGTGCTCCAGATATACTTTCAGAGGTGATTGCTCATCCAGTTAGAAATGAAGCCTTTTATTATAAAAGGTTTTTTCACATGTTTGAATCTGATATTTTTACAGCCCACAGATACGGTCTTTTTCTTCAAGAAATTCTAGAACTTCTTTTAGACTTTATTATATCCCATGTTCTCTATTTTTAAGTTAAATTCTAGTTTCTTTATGCTTCACATTTATTTATGTTGCAGCAATTTTTGTAAAATGGAGCAAATGTTTCATCACTTATTCTGAGATATGCCTTTCTTGACCAACTGTTTAGTAAGGTCTTGTAGCTCACTTTTCTTCACTTTTCTTTTTTATGGCCCATCCTCAGATACCTGAGTCTCACTCTTGATAGTAGAATTTACCCTCTAGGAAGTTACAATATTACTTCACAGCTTTCATAGCGCTATGTACCCCTTATTTAACATTTCATATTATTTCATTTAAAACAGAAATCTACATGCAACAAAAGAGATCCCGCACAAACTTCTGTGAAAGGAATCTGAAACCATTAAAAAACTTCTGTACTCATCTGTATATTCTTACAGTCCATAGCATATATGATTAATAGTTCATCACTTCCTTATTTTTTGCCATGAGGAAGAATGGTATTGTTGGTGCACGCTGAAGTGGAAAGTAAGCAAGAAGAGGATTACTGTGGCCACTGACTTGCATTACCTACTGCATCATTTATGTGACAGGAAAGGTGCAGGAAGTAACACAAGATATTGCAGGTAGATTGATTGCCTTCTACACTACAGTATAGTCCTCTCACCCAATTTTAATTTTTAGTAGAATATTATTGCAGGTTTACAGCTCTAAAAAACTTTGCAATGGGGAAAATCAGGTTAAGTGAGTGATCAAGATTAAAATCACAATACAATTTCACAAATTCAAGAGTTAAATTCCTTATAGCAGTCTTCAGTCACGTGCAAGAGATTTATTATTCCTCTCAGTTTGATTTCATTTTTTTTTTATTTCATTAATTCTTGTTGAATAAAGCAAAAATCTACTTTGCATGTCTATTCTCATGGATATCTCTTACTTATCTTCTGTAAGCAGCTGTATAAATGCAGGTTTTTGGTTTTTGTTTTTTTTTTTTCCTTTCTACATCACACATTGTATTAGAGAATCTCTAATAGAAATTACTGCTGCTGAACCTACAGTACTAACCAGCAGTGGCTTCTGTCCTACTCTGTCATTTAGGAATGGGAACAGGAAAATCTGTTCTGCTTTTACTAAACCACCTCTTTTTTTTCTTCATTTTCATCAGCAAATATCAAACTGTTGAATCACAAGAGTGTCTAACATGGAAAATGCAAAGTCACTGCAATAAGTAATCCTTGAAAAGAAGTAAAGTATGGGGAGATAGATAGTTATATCTTTAGTTTCTTTCAGTTACCTGGACTTATCTCAGTTTTCCAGAATGAATTATGCTGCTGCCTGTCAGTGAAGTGGAGTAATCACAAGAGTAGTTTTTTCATTATATATTTTAATTCTACTCTCTTCTTTCCCTCTCTTTTACTGACAGAGAATTATTTAAAAAAATTTAACAAGGTGGCACCTCCTGTTTTAAAGCAAGAAGGAGCTTGATTCTCTCATGTGTTCTTCTACTATGTTTTTTCTTTTTTCCAGCTATTTATTTGAATTTTGTCTTAGGGCCATCTTGGAAAGCAAACAAACTGTTATGGAGAAACACAAGATACTCCTTTTTCTCTTAAAAATGTTTTACTTACTGTAGTTATTTAAGTTCTTTTTCATTAGCAGCAGGCTGGGCTTCCATTTTCAGGCAGTTGACTCTGCAGGTATCAAGTGCATTTAAAACAGATGTAGTGATTGAAAGATAATTTACTTCAGTTAAGTAGATACATTTTTTATTATTATTATTTTAAAATGAAATATTTTAAAGTATTTACAAATCCTTTTTTTTTTTTTTTTTTTTTTTACATTTACTACAAAAATTGTAAATAAGTGCCTAAAGTATTAAGAAACAGAAATTTACACCGAAAATTTAATGTGGAAGGTGATAACATACAGCAGAAATGGTGTAAATTGTCACATAGTCTGTGCATTTGGCTATATTTAAAGAAAAGTAAAGAAGCCAAAAAGTAATTCCAGTATCCTCGGGCTGAACTTTCTGTCTGTCCTTTGCCAACAATTGGCCAAAGCGGTGAATGAAGTCTCTGAACCTCCAGTTTTGTTATGTCAATTGTTGAAGAGTAGAGAAACATGGAAATGGGAAAGAGGTAAAGTAATAAGAAAGACCACTGTTCATACAGGATGTTCCAGCTCTTTATTCAATCATTACATAAATATTTTTTGTAGATGTATCAAAATTAGACTTCATTAGACATACATTAGACTTCAAAGTTATGGTGATTTCAGGTGTCTCTAGACATTTAAGATCATACTTATTCATATCTACTTATAAATTCATATGAATTATGTTAATTGGATCTGTTAATTATATTCATTTAAATCTGTAATTAATGAAATCTACTTTTAAAAAATGGACTCGAAAATACAGCTTTCTGAATGAGAAAAAAGGAGTTGACACACTCTTTCCTTCCACTGCTAGGCCATGGAAAGTGTGACTGTGGGAAGTGCAAATGTGATGAAGGCTGGTATGGTGAAGCTTGTCAGTATCCAACTACTTGCAATCTTACACGGAAGAAAAGCAATGAAATGTGTAAGAATTCTCAAGATATCATCTGCTCTGGTGCAGGTAAGATGTCTTTTGTATGTCTTGATGGCTTAAGAGGTTCTTTGTGTATTATATTAAGCATCACTGGTTTCTTGTCTGATTAAGAATTTTGTATAATATGTTCTAGGAAACTGATAAAAAACTGTGCATATATTAAAATGCTTGATTTTCCTATAGGCTCATTCCTGTGCATGTGGTGTGCATTTATTTAGTATGCTTGCTTTAGAACTATAGTTTATCCATTGCTTCAGACTGACAAAAGTGCCTTTGTGTCAGATATTCTGCCCATCAGTAAGTATTTATGGGCATTAATACAGAAAGTGAGTTTTGTGTGTATCTGTGTGTTAGATCACAATTTCAAATATATTTTTTTTCAGAATGTTTATAAGCTATGCAATTTTTTGAGAACTTTTGAGCTCATATTTTGTTACAAAGCAAAGTTTTGGAAACGCAGGGTGTTTTCCCCATCTCGGAGGCGCACCCCATCTCGCTAGCACCTACTATAGCAGGGATGTAAGAGTGGCTCTTGTGAGCAGAGCCCAGCAGCTGCCCCATGTCAGAGCAGAGCCATGAGTGATGAGTGATGCTGGATGTGCTGTTGGAGAGCAAATTTAAGGAAGGGAAAAGCTGCTGCACAACAGCAGCTGGGAGAGAGGAGTGAGAAATGTGAGAGAGCAGCCCTGCAGGCACCAAGGTCAGTGTAGAAGGAGAGCAGGAGGTGATTCAGACATGAAGGATAAGTTCCCTGCAGTCCAGGAGAGGCCCACAGTGGTGTAGGCTGTCCCCCTGCAGCCCACAGGCACCACATGGAGCAGATCTCCCCATGCAGCCATAGAGGAACCTGGGGTGCAGCAGTAGATGGCGCCTGAAGGATTTCAAAGCCCATGGAGAGCCCCTGCAGGAATAGGTTTTAAGACTCAATTTAGTTTTGTTTTTATTTCTTACTAACCTACTCTGTTATTGATCGACAACAAATTAAATTAATCTTTCCAAAGCTAAGCCTGTTTTGCCTGTGATGGTAATTGATGAGTGGTCTCTTTGTCCTTATCTCGACTGAGAAGCTTGTTCATCATATTTTCTCCCCCTGTCCTGCGGAAGAAGGAGGAGTGAAAGAGCAACTGGGTGGTTACCTGGTAGCCAGCCAAAACTGTGACAATGATTATCAAAAAACTCTTGTGGAAAATTTACTGAATCATTTGATGGAGTATTTTCATATTCACCTTTCTGGTATGGTAGTTCTCTTTGCTGTCATTTTTAATTTTACAACTTAAATGGGCAGGCAGCTCAGCACTACAAGGCTATTTGCTCATTCTGACCCCTCCCAGTGGGGGAAAAAAAAAAGGTAGAAATCATAGGCAGAGATAAAAGCTGTTTACTAAAACAGAGAAGGAAAGGAAAAGTAATGGTAAATTTATATATATTTACAGAATAAGTGAAGCACAGTGTAAGTGCTCACCACTCACTAACCAACCCTCTGCCAGTCCCCAGGCCTGCTGCCCCCAGTTTTACACACTTTGCATGACACCATATGTTATGGAATACCTGTTTGGACTGTTAAGATCAGTTGTCCTGGTTGTGTCATTCTTCCTCCCCTCCTTGTGCACCTCCAGCTCCCCACTGGCTGGGCAGCATGTGAAGTTAAAACATCTTTGACTCTGTGCAGCACTGCTCAGCAACAAATTAACAAAAACATCAGTTTGTTATCAATATTGTTTTTACTAAAGTCAAAACATCACATCATATTGGACATTCTGAAGAAAATAAACTCTGTTGCAGCTGAGACTGGGACAGTTATGCATCATTTTCCAAAGCAAAAAGTACTGAGAAGGCAGTTGTTTGGTTTGAGCTGTCTCTCTGAGAGAAAAGAGGGGCTTGCTACTTCCCTTGGAGCAACAAAACAAAACTTTTGTGTTTGAGACAGTGGGCTGTGGAAAGGCAGCCACCGAGTTGAGGGAGCAACCCTATATGAAAGACTATGAAGCAAACATGATCAGGCCAGTGGTGACAGAAGATCTGTTTAAAAAAACATTTCCAAGTTTCGCATCCTCTGAGCTCTCTGCATTTGTAATATGTCAGAAAGTTTTCTACGCTGGCTTATGTTCTGAGAGGATTCAACTCTGTGGTTTTCAAGAATCCAGGGGTCTTGCAGATAGTTAAATCAAGGAAGGCACAGGTCAAACAAATCCATTCCATTTTTTGCAATTAGCTTGTCTGTTGTCTAATATATTGGCACACTAATCACTTTCTAGATAGAATCTTAAGATTTTTAAATCCTATTCCTCATATAATAAGCATAAAAGGAGTCTGGTGACTAGAGTGCAAATACACTTTTTGAAATTATTCAAACATACTTTCAGATCTTCAATAGCAAAACTCTAACTCTTATCTAAGATGACCGTGGAGCTGGGCAAAATCAGGTTTTATTCTTGAGAAGATGACTATGCATGTTTTTTTTCCTCTTAGTTGGCTGAAAATATAATTTTTAAAGCTGATTTAATTCCTCAAATACATGAATTAAGACAGACAATTCTAGAAGTGAAATTTACTTATTAAAATATAATGCTGCTTATTAAGAGTGAATCACTTTAATATTGCACATATTTAGAGACAACATTAGACTTCTTGCTGATGTGGATTATTTCCATTTCATTCGTTATCTAGATACTGCTCAGAAATATTTACTGTTTCTGATGGAGTGATGAAACTCCTTCCATAAGTTCTAGTCATTATTTCTTAAATGTTTGCAGGTACATGTCAGTGTGGCAGGTGTAAATGCATAAACTCAGGAGGAAGTGGACTGGTCTATGGTAAATTTTGTGAATGTGATGACAGGGAATGCATAGATGATGAAACCGAAGAGATTTGTACAGGTATGTGTTTCATTTACTACGTTAAGAATGGTGAAGATGAAGGTAGTTTGTTATAAAATTATTTAATGAATTTAAAACATGTTTTTCTTGAATATATGAATTAAAGCAAAAAAAAAAAAAACTACTGGTAACAAATTTCAGTTTAGAATTTCAGATTCAAAAATGGGCTAAAGAGGAATTGAGAGAAGGAAGAAGTCCTTTGACATCTTTCTCTTTCTGAAGGAGATAATTTACTGGAGTACTTCACACCTTACTGCAGCTGTCTTTGGTAGAAAATAAGTAACATGAATCTTTTCATGTGACGCAGATGACCGTAAGAGGGAAAGTCAGGGAAAAAAAAACCAAGAAAAATAGAAAAACATTATTATGAATTTGGGGCAAGAAAGCAAAATTTAGAAAGGAATGAGAATGAATGTGAGATGAGAGCTCAGAAGCAATTCAGGAGGTAAAACGTGAAAGGAACAAATGAAGAAAATCTTCATCTGTGGTAGAAAACACAAGAGAATAGGATGAACTCTGCTGTGAGAAGTGCAAATAAAATTCATATTGTGCTTTCATTTCATTATAAATTAGGAACCTAGCAATTAAATACCATGTAAAACGCACCATTTCTAGCACTGGAAATGCTGTTGCATATGTTAATAGGGAGATTTGTTCTTGAAATGAAAGTTGCTACAAATATTTTACAAGCTATACATATGCAGTGTCTGTGTGCATATGGCTGTACCCAGAACACCACTTAGAATATTCATTCTCTGATAATAATGTATGCTCTGCACGTGTGCGTGTGTAAAAAGGCAGACTAATTGAATATAAAATCTTTATCTGTCTTAATGCTTACATAGAGAACAAAATAATGGTATTTAATTATGTGCCCTTTATGGGAGCAAGAACTACATTTTTTCCCCATGGGATTAGGTACGGATTGTAAATGGAAGTGAGTATGTAGAATGGTCCTCTAAAGTCCGTACCTATGAGCAGAGGAACTGTAATTACCTGAAATAAAATGAGTGAAAGGCAATAGTATTTAAGTGCTAATGATCCAGCTTATATTTATTTGCTTGTAAAAAATGGATATGGTACCAACTGTGATACAAATTCATCACTTAGTTCCAGTAAATTCTCCTGCAGTTTTTGTAAGCTTTTATCTCCGTCTGCGTTGCTGCTGATTGACCTTGTTAGGCTTTTCTTAGTATTTTCTTTCACCTTGTTTCATCCACTGGCATCATGTTCCAAAACAGAACATATGCATGTCTTAAGAAAATTAGTTTTATGTTATAAAGATATCAAAGTATGTTGATGTACACAGACAAAAAGGTCGGTATAATTCATCGGCACATAAAACTTTTATACTTTATTTGGAAATTTACAAAATAAAAATCAAATAAAAATAATTAAAAAATAGGTACCCTTTACTTGCTTATGTTGTTGTAAGATTAAAAGTTTATACACTTAGTGTATGAATGCTAGATTTTGCTTTGCTTTCTAAGATGAACCTCTCGAGCACATAAACAATGTATTTAATTAGAAAAAAATTGGATAGCACATGACCTGAAAGATCAAAGGCACATAGTTTTATAGCAAAGAAAAAAACAGACCCTTCCCCCATGTCTAGTTATGGTTTCTTTCTCACACTTGGATGTTTATTTTAATATCTTTTATCCATCCTTTCCTTCCACAGGATTTCCATCATAGTAATAATTCAGGTTTATTTATAAAGTAAAAAAGAAATGGTGTTCCAACTCAGGCAAACGTTACTTATCTATCAGTGGTCCCTGGTTGATCCCATACAGAGAGTAAACCTAATCGGTGCCTGTTCTGCTTTCCTACTGTGTGCAGCACCTACTTAGTTGCTATGTACTCTTTATTTCCCTCGAAGCATTCTGGCTATAGGAAGGTCTTGAGGACTGCGATTGCCTTCAAAAAGACAAACTGAGGAGGAATCAAGCTAATAAATTATCAGAAGTTTATATTTATACACATATTTTTAAGGCCTGCAGCTGTGAGCTGGAATTTTATCCTGGAAAAGCTTCCAGTGGAAATCTTAGATATGGATAACATGCATTTTAAGCTTTGCACAAGTGGGCTGTATTTTTAATCAAAGCATTTTTTTAGGCAAGGCACAGTTACAACAACATATCAAGCTTCTCATTGAATTTTTCGGCCACTTGGTTGTTTCTGCTTCACTAAGTATTTGAAGCTATACAATTTTTGGAATGAAGTTGCAGCAATTTTTTCATAAAGTTTTAGCAAATTAAGTTCTGATCCTGATCCTTTTGTCTCTAAGGCTATATGCTCTAATGAAGCAACTTTATCTTCAGTCAAGAGCAAGTGATAGAGTCAAATTGTATTATTTAATTCATATGTGGGGACATATAACTGTGAGTGAAAGATGAAGCAGGGATGTTTTAATCTTCAAGAATTGCCAGAAACTTAATTCACTCCATCATTTTTTCCCTTTTCTTGTCTGCTGTTTGAGAACAACCTATTTATAATATGTAGTGTTATAAACTGTATTGATTGCTTAGTTATGTGAGTATTCTATTATTGTTTCATGTCACCTAACAATTGTAGCAAAAATTCTATGTACAATTCCAAAAACAGGAAAAAAATGTATCCCAGTGTTCTAAATTTAATCTATGATAGTTAATGATTACATATATATCAGCTGACTGTATTCTGAAGGAGACAACAAGGTCTACTACACTTAACACACTTGAGAGAAAAAAGAACAAGATACTGACTTGATCCTGTGTCCTTCTAGTAAAGAAATTAACGTATAACTTTAAGATTAGTAGGAGTTGCAGCAACTGAACTTAAATGGTGGGATTTTTTTTTTTTTTTTTTTTTTTTTGTCATTGAGATGTGTGGTAGCAGTGCTTTAGTGAAATAAAATGTTTGGTAGCCTGTTTCATGAAGTCTTAGATGACACATGTAACTTCCCAGGATAGAAGGAGTTTGTTAAAAATGCTTTTGAACACTTAAAACATTCATTTTACTAATTCTTATCTTTCATGATCTGATTTATCCATCTTCAAAAATACTGTTGCTAGGTAAAAAGAGAAGACACATACAGTGCAGAGTTTGAAGTAAATCAGTTTTACAGTCTCTTTTGGAATTATCTGAAGAGTTGAAAACAAAGAGGGCTTTGTTAGATAGGTACAATATTGTGGACAATTGTGTCCCAACTTAATATTAAAAGATCTGCTTAACTTTTAACTGTTGCATTTGCTGTCTTTAGAATTTACCTATAAAAAACGATTACAAATACAAAAAAAAAAAGAAAGTCTTTTTCTCAGTGTTTACTGATAAAAGATCTGTGATTATATGAAAATATGCTCTGCTGTAGACATGCTGAAAAGTATAGAGCAGGTATCTTTTGTTTTACTTGAAGTAGACGCGTAGTCTACAAATTGTTTCTATTCTGAGTCCAGCAATAAAAGTTTTTAGAAGTAAAAATATCAAAACAGTTACATTGCTTATCCTTCTTATGAACTTGCCTCTTTCTCACTGTATAAAATTTGTTTTGGGTTAAGGCCATGGACAGTGTTACTGTGGAAACTGTTACTGTGAGGCTGGTTGGCATGGAGATAAATGTGAATTCCAGTGTGACATCACCCCTTGGGAGATCAAGAAAAGATGCACATCTCCAGATGGCAAAATCTGCAGTAATAGAGGTGTGTCATTCATGCATTTCTTTTACACATATTCATACAAGTTGCTTTTGTTATAAAATATATACTTACTGCCATAGGACGTAGGTCATGTTTGTTGACGATTTCTAGTTTGTTCTCACTTATTTAAATCTGAGCATGTATTTCCAACTGAGTGGCTGGATATCTGTGTTTCAAGATAAACTTGTATCTATGCATTCATTTTTAGATGAAGCTAACCCAAGACGATAAAGTTCTTTTCATACTTTGTTTCTGTAGTAAGACTGAGCAGAAAAATTTCTCAGTGCACCAGCTCTGGTGGGAGACTCTTCCTGCTAAATCAAATATTAACATACTTGTCTTTGAATGGATCAGTGCTATAAACAACAGAACAATATGCCAATCTTCTCTTTAAGAACAATAAGGACACACAACTTGAGAAAACAAAGACACAAGCCCATTTTTTTTTTTTCCCCAATGCTACTTGAAAGAGCAACAAAGAAGTGTGCAGTAACGGTTCTGTGGAACACATATGGAGTTGGAAGGGTAGATTTGGCACAATATATTTCTAAGTTAGATTTTCTTTGCATCAAGTCCCAGAATTCTAATTTTTGTCTATAATTCTGTTTAATTCTGATTTTTGAAAGCAAAAACGACAGCAACAAAAATAGAACAAAATAAGATTAGTATATACCTGCTACTATATTTGGCTTTTTTGAGGGAAGAGTTAAAAGAGCATGTTATTGTTTGTTTATATAATAGAGAATAAAAGTAGAAGATAAGTTTGTCTCATTGATACTTCTCTTAAAAAATCTTTACTGACAAAACCTCCTATAATATGAACTTCTAATTATCCTGAGTGCATTTAGAAAATTCTTTTCTCTGAAACATGAGGAAATTGAGATTGGCTAACATACTGAGGTCATGTAAGCTCATTTAGTCTTGTGACTAAAAAAAAAAAATATGTATTTCTGGACAAAATAAACACAGAAATGTTTCAGATTCTATTTGCATCAGGAAAATAATTTCTAGTCAAATGAAATCTGAAATTAGAACAATGACATTTTAATGCACAAGTATTTCTTTACATTTACATTTTACGTGGGAGAAATGAAGGTGAATAGTCTAGTAGCATTCTGAAAAGCTGCAAACTTCTATTAAAAATACATTAATGTGATATTTATATATTTTTCATCTGTTTTTGGTTTTATCCATATTAAAAATATATATATGTAGGCTTTTGACTACATAAAGTTGCTTTCCAGTGTTCCTACTCTCTTTAATCCTATTTACCTAGATTTCTGTGCTGACAAACGCTGTGATATAGGTACAGTTCATCTTGTCTTGCTCATTCTAAACTTAAATATTGAAACGTGTCTCACTGTTTAGCTTACCTCAGTGCTAAAATGGGTAAATTATTTGTATCTCTTCACCAATCATCTAGTCAACCGTCAGAGAACAGATGCAAACTTCAGATTTTTTAAACTTTGAAGGGATGGTGCTTTGCATTCTGATATCCAAGACATTTGATCCAAATTCACTTTGAAGTTGTTTCTGTGAGAATAAATCACTCTCCAGAAGTATTTATTCAATTTTTTTTTTTTATTTTTTTTTCTTTTTCTCCCTCCTTCAGTAAGGTCACTGAATTGTGAAATTATCAATACTCTGATGCAAATTTCTTGAAAGCTGTTCTGGTGGCATTAGCACTTGACAGGCTTCATATGACAGTCATTCATGCACAGTTGTGTAGTCCTTTTCTTTTTAGAGACAGCGCACATGTCGGCCATTCAATCACTCTGTCCTGTTCTTCTCAAACATATTATGTTGTTCAGACTAATCTGAATAAGAAGACAATGGCATTGGTGGAATAGCAGGAAAGTGTCGTTTCTGTCCAAGAAATGGACTGCACACATCTATACAGTTAGGCTGCTACTTCGTACCTGCTGACCTCTCAGCAAAATCATATTTAAAATTATGAATAAGGAAACTGTATGTGTGTTCTGACTTTACCTAAATCAGTATGTTCTTTCTCTGTATCAGTAAGGCTGTGCAGAAGAAGTATCTGTCATGTATAACATTTTCCTTCCTGTTGTGAACAACAGCGTGGGGCACTTGGGAAAAGTGAAAAAAGTATCATTTTCATGTAAATCTGTGCTTGTATTCTTGTTAGGTAAAGTTTTACTTCCCACTCAATTTCAGCTGGATTAAAATTTGGATTTTTTTTTCTAGTTTAAATGCTTATGCTTTCAAATCAACTATTTATCCAGTTTACCTAAGTCCAAATCTTTTAAATAGCATTGATTTATATTCTTATTAGTGTCAGGGCAAATTACTGTTGATGTCTTCTATTCTGTGTACTACATATTTTGTTGACTCCTAATGAGGATCTACGGCAAAGGCAAACTTGGAGCCAACTTGCCTGTATGAAGTATTACTACTAAGTAATAGAAAGTTGTAAATCATTGAGGTTGAATGAACAGTCATGGTTAACATTTGCAGTTTTGACATTACACTCCCATAAAAGCAAAATTTAACAGGTGAGAATTTTTGCAACAAAATTAATACTCTAAATTACTCAGGTAATTTTCCATCCCTGTCTCTCTTATTTTCTTTTTCATAGGCACATGTGTATGTGGGGAATGTACTTGTCATGATGTGGATCCAACTGGAGACTGGGGAGATATTCATGGAGACACTTGTGAGTGTGATGAAAGAAACTGCAAAGCAGTGTATGATAGATATTCTGATGACTTCTGTTCAGGTAAGAAAAATGTAACAAAGAATTTATGTGTATCTCTACAATAAAAGTCCACAAATGGCTTGATCCTGTTCCTCCTTTTCTCTTCAATTCTCATTTTCCCTAGTTTTAATTACAACAAGCTTCAGCTGTTTTTGTTTGTTTGTCTTAGAGGGGTGGCCTTTTTAACTCGAAGACATTATTCTGTAAAAAAAAATATTATTAAAACAGACATTTTTTTTTTTAATTTGAAATTTTTCTTAAGTTTTTTTTTTTTTTTTTTTTTTTTTTTTTTTTCCTCCATAAATATGAACTATTTTTAGGTGCACAATTCCTTTCTAATACTATTGTCTTCAATACAGTCTAAGATCAATTGGAGAATGTCTGAAACTTTAAAATGTATATCCTATATTGGGACAATTTAAATTTGATCTTATTTTATTTGTTATTGCATATCTAAATAAGAGAATATATGTCCAATTTGCAGCCAGTCAGTGGGTACACATGCAAGCAAGGAACAGAAATGGAGGCTTTGAACACTTTTCAAGGAAAACAAATAACTGAAGTAATGAAAAATTGTTATTGCGAGCTTAATAAGACCTGTAGCCCAGGGACTACTCTGACAACTTATAGAATGCTTGTTTCTATTTCTCCCTTTAAACTGATAAGTGAATATGTTTAATAAATGTAATATAAGGCAATATTGTTTCAAATATTGGTAGATGGAGATATGACAGAAATATTTATCTGATTTTCAAGAAAGAGCTGCATAGGCAAGTGCACATAAATCAGTGCTTTGAAGCCCTGTATCTGGTGAATGGCAGCTATATGAACAGTGTGAAGGAAGATCATAGAGTCATTGAGGGAAAGACCTTCAAAATCATTTAGTTAAGATCGTCAAGTTCAGTCACCAACCTGACCTACTAATTGCCAGCACTATACAATGTCATTTATTGCCACATCCACATGCCTCTTAAATATGTGCAGGGATGGAGACTCCAAACGTTTACCCAAGCAGCATATTTCAATATCTAACCACTCTTTCCACAAAGAAATTTTCTCCACTATTCAATCTTATCCTTCCCTAGTATAACTTGAAGCTACTGTCTTGCAAGTGAAATCCATAGTTTCCTGAGAGAAGAGGCTGACAATCTCCTTACTGCAGCCTCCTTTCAGACAGTTGTAGAGTATTGAAGTTACACCTTAGCTTCTTGTTCTCCAGACCAAACAATCCCAGTTCCCACATTTGCTCCAGATAGGTCTCATGGATTTAATCTGCAGTCACTTCTCATGAGAATAAATATTTCAGTTTGTGGCAAGAAATTTTTTTGCTAGTGCCCAAGTTTTCTCCATCTTGTACAAGGAAGCTTTTGTATAGTCAGAATACCACAGCTTTATGCAAAGGGCATTGGGCTCATCATGAAGGGAGCTGGGCAACTTGAGTTTACTTCATCAGGTTCTGCTAGCATTCAGATAGAGGAAATGAATTGGCTAGTCGGCATTTCAGGTTCAATTCTTAGGATGGCTCCATCTCTAACTACTAGGCTGTCACCCTTATTTAAAGAAACAATCCATAAAAGCTTTTGTTTTATTGATTGCTTTTCCTGAACTCAGTATGCATAGTGAAAGTTGCATTTATGTTGTTATGTTCAGACATGGCCCGGAAGAGTTGAGTTAGTTAAGGAGATTCCAAAACCACATTTCTCCTTATGGAGATGAGGATTGATTATGCTGAGAATTTTGTTATTTGCACATTGTTATATAGTAGAATGCAATAGGCTGAGACTTGGAATTGGTGTAGAATTGCTTGTATCAAGCAGATAACATTGATTGAAGTACATGAAAGATGTACTGGCACAGTACTTGGAGAATATGCTGCAACTGCTGTAAAAAAACAAACAAGATCAGAAAGGTAAGTGAAATATTGCTTTTGATGGCCCTATGTCTCCAGACAATGAGGTGCATATCTGTAAACTCCTTTACAAATTTTTTACATGAGAAGTCTGCGACAAGTGGCAGAACATCCCTTAAAAAAAACAAATGAAGGAAATACAGCTTAGATGACATGATATGCAAGTTACTGTGAGGAAAAAAAGTAGATATAGTGAGTTGATTGTATTTTTGCCAGACTGACTCTTTAATGAAACCAGAAACTTGATAGAGTTAATTTCATCATCAGGTTTTAATGCCTATCATCAGCTTGGAGGCTAATCTTTAGCTATATTCATTGCAAAGGTCACGGACAGTGTAATTGTGGAAAGTGTGACTGTAAAGAGGGATGGACAGGGAAGAAGTGTGAACATCCACGGTCTTGTCCATTGTCAGCTGAGGAAAGTGTGAAGAAATGCAAAGGAAATTCTAATTTACCTTGCTCTGGAAGAGGTAAGGACATTCTTGGTAGAATTTTCATGCTCTCAAATTATACTCCCAATAAAATAATTTTTACAGATATGTAAGATTACTAGTACTGACAAATGTGAACTTTCTTGGATCAGTGTGCATAAGTGAAACTTGCATAACTGTTCAGTTTTTAGAAGGAAGTAGAGAATATGAAGGTGGAAGGAAGGTTGGAACTAGATGATCTTTAAGATCCCTTCCAATCCACACTATTCTATGACTCTACAGTGAATGAACATTTGTTATGTGATTATTCAAGGAAGATTGGAAGATTGCTGCAGTTAAGTGTTGATAAAGGTATATTAAAAACATGAAGCTGTTCTTTTCAGTCTTTAATGGAACCAGTTTTCAGTCTGTGTAAAATGCTGTGGCTAATTTTCATCTGTCAAAGCGTGAAATGTGTTTCTCATAAATAGAAGAAAAAAAAAGTAAATATAACACTAACTTTTACTAGAACTTATAATTGAAGTTTTTACGAATTCTGCCCACTTAAGTATTTGCTGGGAAAGGTCTAAAGCTGGTCTTGAATTATTGTATTTGACCCTAAATGTGATTTCATTTGCAATTTCTTCTTCCACAAATATTATTTAACATAACCAGAAATTAGGCTGTCAAGCTAAGTTAGCACAGTAATAATCATATTTTTAATCTTCCTGTAAATGTGTAACAACTCATAAGTTAGTAAATGCAGCATTAACTATTTCCTAAAAGAAACACATAGCAGCAGTTGTTGCTTTCTTTTTCTTAATTAATTGTTCTAGAATTTTCCACAGGATTAAGTCACTCTACTATTGCTAAAAATTATCAAAGGGATTATTGGGTACAAATTAGTTGAAATGTGTACATCTGAACATTTTATTGTTTGTGAGTGCATTAGTTATAACTGAAAGAAACAAGACTGGAATTTATTACTTTTTGATATTTATGTTTTAATACAGACTGTTGTCCTGTTCTTATTGGATGCTGAATGTTTTTTTCCTCATTTGCTGCATTGTGTATGTTGAGCATTTGGAGATAGATACATGATTTGCATAACAAAGCCTGAAATATGTATTCTCAGTTTAAAAAAAAAAAAAAGCATCATGCACATTTAGTCAAATAACAGAGAAAAAAAGACCATCATAATGACAAGTTTAGTATGAATAAAAATTCAATTCATATTTTTCTGTTTGTTTTAAATTTTGAAAAAAATATTCTAAATATAGTTTCAAAAAATGCAATTTTAAAATGGAATTAGTTACCTTGATTCAATTCTATGAATCATTTTGTTTAGGGTATTAGAAGGGAAAAAGAGGAAGGTGATCATTTAGCTTAATCATCTGTATTTTGCTGTGTTTTGTGATTGTTTTGTTTTGTTTTTCTTTGTTGTTGTTGTTGTTGTTGTCCGTAAGCCCTTTAGGTTTTGTTTTGGTCTTTTTTTGACAGTGACCTTCCTGAATTCCCCTTTTTCCCACATTATTCTGAATATTAAAAAGAAAATAAATAAAAATTAAGTAAGTCCCTGTACAGCTGAAAGAATATATATGTTTAATTCCTATGAAAACTCATCATTCAGCCAGTATAGGCTGTATATATCAAGTACAATAAAAGATAAGGTTTTTATGTAACTTCCAATGCCTCAAACCCTTGACACAAAAACATGCAAATCCCAAACATGTATTCATGAAGAATATAGAGGATTTGTGGTTTTCTTTTTATTTTTTCTTTTTTTTTTAATTTATTTTTAATGGTTTGCCGCCTGTAAATATTGTTGGAGATTTTAAGGACTTGATCACTGGGAGCTTCATATTCTTTAAAATCGGAAAGTTATTTGCCGCATGTGACACCCAGATTTTGAGAATCTCATGTTCCCTTAACTATAAGTCACAGAACCTCAATAAGGAGAATAAAAGATAAAGGGAGATTAAAAATAAAAGCACTGTAAAAGAAAGCTTTCTAAAATAAATTGTTTAATGACTCACTTGCAAGAAAAACAAGCTGTTTGTGGGTTCTGGTCTGCATGCGGAGAGAGCAAAGAAGCTGCCCAGAATATACATGGTCTTTTATTTTTAAGTTGTTTTAAGTAGGTAGAACTAAGATTTATATTGATGTACTGAGGTCTAAGTGGGAATTCCTATACACTAAAATGATGCAATAAATGTAGGTTTTGAGAATACTAGCTAAGAGGTTTCTTCCTTTTTTTTAGTGATCTTGTAATTGTCACTTATCTTGAGTGAAGGCAGCCATACCGTGGCAATCATCCAAAGACAGATAAATGACAAATCTCTATATTGGTACTGTCTTTTGCCATTTTAATCTCCCTTCTATAACGGTTTTTATTTATTTTTCATATGGAGAGAATAAGACTATTTCTTTATCTATGAAATTTCCCTTTATGCTTGTGCTCTAGCATTGAACATCAGAAATACAATTCTTTTATTCTGAAAAATGTTATTTTTGCAAACTCTCTAAAGTCTCATTTTCAAAAGATTAATTTTATGATCTCATAAGTTATACAGCACTTTGAAAGTTTTTTGACCATTGTCATTTTTCAGTAACTTTGCTGTTTCTTCTCTACGTAGAGTTATGAATGGGTGACTGACTTAATGAAAGAGTAAGAAAGTTCCTCTAGGCATTACTACAGGCTCCTTATGACATGGGTGTCAAACCTTGTAGCTTACCTGGGCCACACTGAGTGAAAGGAATTGTTCTGGGTCACATATATGTAGGTCGCAATGGAAGTAATGCCTCCTATTTATTTCCATGGGAGCTACAACAGATACAAAGAGCACAATAACACTGTTTGATAGAACAACTTCTCAGCTGCAAAAAAAGCTATTTTTCAACACAGTCACCACAATGAGCTATGCACTTTCACCAGTGATGTATAAGAGCATGCATACTGCAGTAGTAAAAATCTGCAGCAGTAGAGGTGATCCAATGTCACTGTCGCCTCTGCTGAAATGCACCACCAACCACCTCACTGTGCTCGCATTCACTGTTTGGTCTTCATCAACGTTCAGTAAGCACTGAGGAATGTCAAGGGGTGCCATTTTTTCTGCATGAAGGAATTCAATGACAAACCTTTTCTTCATATGTACTTCGTTTCAGACAGCAGTTGGTCAGACTATCCCTCTGCTGTCATCTGTCACACAGCAACAAAACATAATGGAATGCTGATGGTCCTTTGCTGCCACACTAGTATTTCTTTCTGGCAACAGAGGGCTTGTAAAAATCTGATAAACAGTCAAATGTTTGAATTGGTCACCTGATTGTTACACCATGCATCCAATTTGAAAATTTGCAGTTCATGTATTTATGCTGATGGAATATGGAGTTGCAAATATATTAAAAAAAAAAAAAAAAAAAAAAAAGATTTTTTCAGCAGTATTGAAACCTATTCTCAGATTTCTTTATCACAACAGAAAGCACAGCTGCAGGTTTTTTGCTTTTCATGGAACAGTATTTAGCCAGCACATAAAAATATATACAGTTATTAGCCATTACTTGAGCTGGTTTAGGTTTGAACAACATTGATAGCACACTGACGGTTTCTTGCTGAGAGATGGGTGTGTGCCCAGGCCAAGTATATGTGATCTAAGGGCTGCTGGTTGAACATGCCTGCCTTATGGTAAACAGGATACCATCTCCTGAAGTCTAGAAACAAATCCTAGGGATAAGGGACACTAAGATAACCCCAAAGAATAGTGCTGCTGCTCACTGTGTGCTACAAATTCCTAATCATTTTTGGTTCATCCTGGTTTTACTGTTGTACATTCTGTGTTACTCTCAAACATAAGTCATCAAAGCCTTGGCTGACACAGCAAGTACTGTAAATTCTAATTGATTCTACTTCTACTGTGTTATGTAGAAGAAAAGAGAAGCTTTCATGCATCTAATTACATCTGTGTACCAACAGTAGTGAGTGGAAACTAGATACAGAAATATGCACTAAATAGCCTAAAAGCAGAGGGAACTATGCTGTTCTTTTCTGACCTTTGTGATGTTTTACAGGACTGGTCATAAATAGCATTCAGCTTGTAAATAATTTGGAGTTTTAGATCTTGAACTACTATAGCTTCATAGAAATATATGGAGGACATTGTTCAGTAGGTCCTCAACATTTTTGAACTTGTAGAAGCTGTAATATGGTAACACACAGCTGATTACCTCTCTGGCTCATAAATCCTTACACAGATGATGCTTTAGAAAGGCTGCTGTTGGAACATGCGAGATCATGGGAACTACTGTGCTTTTGACAATGGAGCCTTGTTTACCAAAATGTTATGACCTCACAGTTTCTTTTCTTCTGAGTGTAGATGTCAAAGACCTTGGGGTTCCTCGATGTCACTAAAACTAACAAAAAAAAAAATTGTATTTCTATTAAGTATCTATAGAAAAACAAGATTTTTAATAATTATTGCTTATTGAGTTGATAAAGAAAGGTGGTAGGGGAAGTTGCCATTTGAGTAATTCAATGTATATGTATGCTATATGTTATGTTATATATGACAGGATAGAGTTAGAGTAGAAAAGTAAACAGTCCTAAGGTAAAATCTGAGTTACCATCCCTGCTACTAGCTCTTTATTGCAGCCTCTTACTTTGCAAATTGTACTGTTAAATTGAAGTGCAAATTACTCTAATATACATCATCTCTGAATTTGGCCTGCTGTTTTCATTCATTTTGCATGACCTCTGCATTCTGAAGGAGGTCTTAATTAAAGCACTATAGTAGCCAATCTGGCAGCATGTTATGAACAAGAACAGAACTTAAATGCAAGTCATGAGTCCCAGTAAACATCTATATTTTTCATCTCATCAATTTTGAGACTAAGCTCTGTTATTCATTTGCACGCTTCAAGCAGAGAGGCACTCTTTCAATACTAGTACTTTAACGCCAGATGAGCTGTCATGACAGTGGTTGTTATACAATGTCATATACTCTTATGTACTGGACTGACATGCCAAAGTCCTCTTGTATAATCTGTTGATGTCAAAGAAAAAA